TTAGTCACTTTTTTGACCTACATGACGGCTAGCCTGTTCCAAGCGTTCAGATAGTGAAAAAGCTTAGAAATTCAAGCGTACTCTATCACAAAACCAAAAACCCTTTTGAAGAGAAAATTTGTATGAAAACTAGTTTTCAGCTGCTCTAATGCATCGTGAAAGTAAAATCTCGGTAGGATCGATAGTTTTTTAATCTGAATTTTAGTGACGTCAAGTGAAAACCAACAATTTATTCGATTAACCGCCCTGGGCGTTTATTAAATTTTTGGACCTTGAGAGTGGGCGCTTATTCGAGGCGGGGCGCATATTAAATTTTCACCATTTTCAGCAATTAGTGTAGTATTTTTATTTTGCAACAAAACAGTAAATGCCAGTAACAAAACACGAAGAAGTAACAAAGCAAGGTCTCTGCAAAATACTCCGGAGAACACTCCGACTTCGGGGAAGTCTCTTATTAGTACTCTTCAATTTCAATTTCAATCTCATTATCACTTAAGTAGGTGGAGTAGGGGTGGGCGCGTATTTGAGTTTGATTGGGAGGGAGAGGGGCTGGAGTGGGCGCTTATTCGAGGCTGGGCGCTTATTAACTTTTTCTGGCTCTAGGATGGGCGCCTATTCGAGGTGGGCGCTAATTCGAGGTTGGGTGACTATTCGAGTAAATACGGTATTTCCGGTCGTTATTTTTCGGGTGGAGAGCAGAGACGATCGGAAATACGCAGGCTAGTTGCCTGAGGAAAAAATGGCTAGGGAAAAAAAACTTCCTCTGGGAGGGCATGAGCCTACTGGCAACGAATGGTCTGCACGAAAAAAACGGCAATGACGAGTACCCGGTGTACAGCCGCCCCCTTCCCTCAAGTGTGCGGTCGAAACGTCGCGATCAATATCAAAGGGACAATCGTGAGACGAACGATGAAACTAAACCCTTTATAACACATTATCCACGATGACAAGAGAGGATAAAGCTCAGCTGAACTTTATCCTCTCTTGACGATGATTAATACCGTAAAATTCCTAAAATGAACCCCTCCAAGTATAAGCCCCTCCAAATATAAGCCCCCCAAACCGGCAACGCAAAAAACCCTCCATCAAATCGCCCCTCCAAATATAAGCCCCCTGGGGGCTTGTACTTGGAAAATTGCCCAATACAAGGCAAAAACGGTAAATTTACTTCCAACTATAAGACTAGCCCAATCGATTTTGAAACACAAATTTCCCTCCGTAGATAAGTCCCTCCGAATATAAACCCCCTCCAAAAATAAGCCCCCCAAAAAGGTTCTTTGAAAAATATAAGCCCCGGGGCTTATTTTCGGAATTTTACGGTATCTTTCATTATATTGACTTTTTCAAACTGGATAATTTAAAGCAACTGAAGGTCTCTACTGAACTGTTAATCACTGCAATTGATGTAAATTATCATTTTACCCCTAAAAACAGCTTTTTTGCACATTATAACGCGAAATATAGTGACCGAGTGCCCCAAAGGGGGACTGGAAACTAGACCTTTAAAGGCTTTTGCCTTAAAAACTAACCGTATGATCCCATCTGAAAAATTCAGGATTTATTTAGTACTTAGAAATAATTGTTTTTAGAGAGAGAGAAAGAAATCCTATAGACAGTATTTTTGCAAAAGCCAAAAGTGTGGAATATTGTCTCTTTATATAATAACTAAAAAACTGTCCTTGGGATTTGTTTGAAAAAATGCTTACAGTTTCGTCTTATGTTCCCTAACAATCATCAAAATTCGAACCCAGGTCGTACGGCTAGTTTTTAAGAAAAAAAGAAAGACCCTTAAAGGTCTAGTTTCCAGTCCCCCGTTTGGCTGCTCGGTCACTATATGCCGCGTTAATCTACCCAATAGAATGCTTTTAGAGGGTAAAATGATAATTTACATCAATTGTAGTGATTAACAGTTCAGTAGAGGCCTTTAGTTGCTAAAAATGTTCCAATTTTGAAAAAGTCGATAATTTTTCATCCACCTTGAGCGATCAAATACAGGTTGCCAGGCATCCTCGGAGACCCAGGGGCAGATAAAGGGGGCGAGGGAAAGTCTAAACGGGCGGAAAAATATATATGGAACGAAGAAAAGTAAAGAACGGCGAGAAGAGCCCCTGAGGACAATGTCTTACCAGACCAGTTCCAAACGGTCGCCGCCGTTCTGGCTTCTGATGGGTGCCAGAAAACTTGTGTTTTTCTGGCACCAATCAGAAGCCAAAATGGCGGCGACCGTTTGGAACTGGTCTGGTAAGACATTGTCCCCAGGGGCTCTTCTCGCCGTTCTTTACTTTTCTTCGCGCCACAATTTTCCGCCCGTTTGGACTTTCCCTCGTCCCCACTATCTGCCCCTGGGTCTCCGAGGATGGTTGCCAGGCAGAACTTAAATGTCTTAGGGTGGCTTGCAGACCCAGTGGTGAGAGGCATAGCTGTTAGACTCGAGAAGCACACTCATAGTCAAGCGAGCCTGCGTGCACATATGTGCGTTTTTCTGTTGCGTGTACTAGTAGTAGCATAATAATAATGAGAAGAAGAATAAGAATAATAATGGTGATGATGATGATGTTGATAAGATCATCATAATAATTTATTAAATCAAGTTTTCAGGGTAAAGATTAAACCAAGAAACCTGGCTCGCAAAAAAGATAGAATTTTTCCGGAAAAAGAGATTTGATTTTTATGGAGACAGCTTGCTTGCCGGTTATATACAAATGCATCAATACTTGTAAAAATTGTCAAAGAGACTCACACATGTACAGGTACAAAGAAGGTATTATTATTTAAATTGCAATTCATCAAAAGAATTTGACATATCATATTTAACAACTACTCCTCTAACATTTTTTACGCTTCAATTAAGATTTACAAAAAAAAAATAAACACCTATTTGTTCAAATCCAAAAAATTATTAATAATTTTATTTAATATTATAATAATGATATCATTAGGCTTCTAACTGGAAAAGATTCTGAAAGTGAATTGGTTATTCTAAAGGTCAATTTTTCTGGAAACTTGACCTTTCTTACAAATTTAATATACAGTACCCATCACCATCTCATGATGAATAAATTATAAGGAAAAACTTTCAGTATATTGAGTTTGCTTTGAGATTTGATCACACAAGATTACTTTCTTGTAACTTTTCAGAACTGTGTGGTGTCCTAGCAGTCTATCACTGCAAATACAGGTTGACCTACTTAGGCTAGGAAGCTCCCCACTACCTGCCAACCTACTCACATGACCTGTAGAGAGTTTTCTTAATAAGGGACCGTTCATTTCTTATTGGGAAGGCGTGGCTGGTGGAAGTTAACGGGTAGCTCCTGTAGTACATGAAGACCCCCCTTTTTATTACAAATTTTTTTGGGTGGCTCCCCCTTGTATCCCAAAATCAAATTAATTGTGATAACCCCCTCCCCCCCGTCCATCCCCCCAGCAAATATAAAATGAAAGAAAGAAAGAGAGTGAGAAAGGATGAAGAAAACTGAAATAAGGAACAGAACGCAAATCAAATAGACTTTCTGAATGGCCATAAGCAGAGAATGGATATTGTCTGTATAAGCTGATGTTGCAAAGGAGACTGATTCTAAAAAAATGAGAACTGCGGGGGAAATTTTGGGAGCTTCAAAAAGTAACAAACGTTATTGTAGTACAAAATATTTACTGCATTGATGGTATACCAAGTGAGGACGACCATGTTGTTTTTAATAGGTTTGTTCATATGAGGGCTGGCAAATTTTGTATTTTGGTTGGGTAGAATTGTTTCTTGGTGCATAATAAGGTAGGGGATCCGTTGGCATGCTTCCCTGGGAAACTATGATGTTTCTGAATGTAAGAAATGCTGGTTTTTGGCATACTGGCAGGCCGTTTGCATTACTACGGATGCCATCACTGCAAAACTTGAAGGAGTGTTTTTGGTGACCCCCTTTACACCCAATATTTTTCTTCTGACCCCCCTTTAAAGCCAATTATTCTTTTCATGGTTCCCCCTCAAAATCCCACCAGCCGCCCCTAAAAAAAATGAACGGTCCCTAAAGACTGGATAATATCCTTGTAAAATGTTAGTCCAGGGCTAAAAATAATTTTTGGACGGTGGCCTAACATGATGACCACCCTAAGAAATTTATGCTCAGTCAAGTCTCATTTCTGACTGGTCAAAGTCAGGCCATAGCTAGGTTTTTTGTAACGGGGGGAAATGTAGAAGGCACAAGCCTCGTAAAGGGGTCTGGGGGTATCCTCCCCCAGAAAATTTTCAAATTTGGAGGCTTCCAAATGCTATTTTCAGCACTTGTCATGAGATATGTCGTATTTTTGAAAAATGCAGTAACTGTGATTGTAGTTTTACAAAGAGACAAAACCTAAGATTCACATGTGAGGATTTGGCTGTTTTTCCAAGAATGAGAGTGTATTCATGACAGGTCAACATGACCAGGGTAAGAAGCTATTTGGCTGGTTAAGTTGCCATTACGACCAGACATTGTCCATTGACTGGCCATTGCGTTGAGCCCTGTAATCAGGTAGGGATAAAAAAACCCCTAGCTATACCCATAATGACAAACTAAATTGGGACAAATGCAGAGGAGACAGAAAACCGTTGCCACCAACCAAAACTGATATTGCCCATAAGTATGTTATGTATGTTATTTTACTCACTGTAAAATTACAAGAGTCAAGTCAAGTTTGAGCAATTGTGGTGAATACAAAAATGTTCAGTTGCAATCTGTTAATGTCACCGTATACCAATTTAAAAGAAGAAATCAGCGAATCAATGCTCTAACCACTAAGCTATAGGAAACTGGTGAGCAAGGTTATTTCTAAGTAAGACTGTGATATACATTTATCTATTAACTTTAGATTTCCATGGCACAAGTGTACTTGCTAGCCTTCCATGCAGACGTTTTTAGTGATTTGTCACACACTCCTTTCTTCCTACATTCAAGGGGGAAGGAATGCATGTCAAAGCCCTAAGATCATCTGTGTGGAATGCTACGTATCTGCTGGGCTAATTTTCACTATGTCCGACAGATTGGCATGTTGAAATCCCCAAAATAGTTAAGCTCAAATAGGGTTGCAACTGTAATGAAAGCAAAGTAAAGAAAAAGAAGTATCATTCCAAGACACTTATTTAAATACCATTTGTTTAAAACTACAAACAGTAAGGTAACAAAGACCGTACCAAATAGAGAAATTGATGTGTAAATGATGCTCCCACTTAAAACCACTACATAGCCTCCAGTGTCAACTATTGTGGTCCTTAGAAGCCAAGGAAGTCCTAGACATAATAAGATGTCAAATACGTTGCTTCCAATTGTGTTTGAGACAGCCATGTCCCCGTCTCCTTGACGAGCAACAATCAGGCTTGATATCCCATCTGGCACACTACTCCCTGCTGCAAGAAAAGTAAGGCCCATTATGACATCATCGATGCCAAGCGTGAAGCCGATTATTTCAACCATCCAAACCAGGACGTATGAGAGAAGCGCAATCCATACCACAGATACAAAAAATGAAACAAGGTACCACTTCTCCCATCTTTCTTTACGGCAGTCAGGAATTGTCACATAAAAAAGACATGTGAGAGGTAATGCTACAATCCAAAGGGATCGAGAAATTAGGCCTTCAGGTACTGAAAATGGTGAATCCTCATCTTTGTCAATAATTTGTACTTCTTCTTCTTGATAACTTTCTGAAGGGTTTGAGCTTTCTTCATTTCTAAGGAGTGACTTTCCTTCCTCATCATTTGAGCTATTTTTAGGCAAGTCCTTGTCTCCCTCTTCAAATCCTGTTAATCTCTGAAAACAACCCTCAAGGGATTGGTTGAAGTACATGATCACAACATATAATAAGTACATGCAAACCAGCACTAATGACTCGTACCAGAACACGTTTTTGTCGTAAGTAATGGCGATCAAAGCAACAATACTCAACAAGTAACACAACGAGTCACGCAGCAGCGGCCACCGGGACAGACGCAGCGTGGAGCCAGCGAACAAACCACAAATGGCCACGATAAAAAGTATATTGAACACTGCAGATCCTACTATAGTACCAAGGCCGATGTCACTTTTTGTTATAAAAACTCCGATAACAGAAGTGAATAATTCAGGAGCAGAGCTACCAGCGGCCATGAAAGTGGCACCGGCGACATCGGAGTGCATATGTAACTTGTCGGTGATTTGCTCCAGAGAAGGAACGAAGTAGTCATCACAAACAATCGCTAAAGCAACGAACATGTAAAGCGCTAATAGAAAGTGAATGACGACACCCCCTTGCTTTTGTCGCTGGTTCTGAGTCATAAAGTCATCTGGAAATTCATCTATGGATGGTTTAACACAGTTTTTCGGAGAAGACGAATCGGCAAGGGCCTTCATCAACGTCAGCACTTTTTGCAGCATGGTCGAGTTGTTCGTGTTGTTCGTGTTGTCAGTTAGTTCCACTGACTTCCTCGTTCGACTGGAAACGACCACAGGGTTGTTTGTTCGTGGTGATTTCGGCGATATAGACTTGTAAAGAACAGTTGGGAAAATGAAACAAGCAAATAAAAACAGCAGAGCAAACCGGCAAAGAACCCTTCCCTCTCGTGCCATTTTGAGACAGGCGATGAAGGAAGTGATGTTCGAGAGGCTATAAAATGAGTCCTAGCCAGGGGTGGGTGGTGTGAAAATGTTCCGGTTTCCTCTGATGATATTCTGCCGAGTGTCGCGGTGCTTGCAGTGTATGAACTACCGTAAAATTCCGAAAATAAGCCCTCCATGTATAAGCCCCTCCAAATATAGGCCCAAAACTCGTAACGCAAAAAACCCTCCGTTAAACCGCCCCTCCAAATAGAAGCCCCCCCCCGGGGGGGGTTGTACTTGGAAATTGCCCTCAAATACAAAGTAAAACAAAGCAAAAACGGTAAATTTCTTCCAACTATAGGCTAGCCTGAATTTCATCCGATTACTTCGAGTCGTTATTACTCCCTCCGTTGTTGAGAGGAGAAAACGACTAGAGGCAATCGGATGAATTTCAGGCTAACTATAAGGCTAGCCCAATCGATTTTGAAACGCAAATTTCCCTGCGTACATAAGCCCCTCCAAAAATAAGCCCCTCAAAAAGGGTCTTTGAAAAATATAAGCCCCGGGGCTTATTTTCGGAATTTTACGGTATTTTATAAGTTACGATTGTCGATACACTCGACTGACTGAATCATTAAACTTTTTTGGACACGGACACCATGTTCAATAGATTGCTCCTTGAATTTGTTACCGGTCCGCAGGCTTTGAATCATTTCTCTTATACAAATATCCTCCCTTTTTTAAACCAAAACTTGGATGAAATTGGTAGGGAAAGGTTGAAAACAAAACACTAATTAGACAGTTAGGTATAATTAATCCGCATAAAATCTAAAATAATCCTGAAAAGGATCTTCACCAATATTTCATGTGTACACACAATTAGAAACCAGACCAAGACGGCAAAGGATGCCTAAACTAGTTGAACAATTTCCCCTCAGAGATAAGACATCTGCTAAATTTAAAGTTTTACAACTTAATTGCATGGAAATTATTGCATGGGAAAGATTATTTCTAACACATTTTAAACTGAAGAGGCCTTGTTGTATAAAGTTTTAATGGACTATATCTGTATTAGTTAAGCATTAATGCCCACTCGTGTAAATTGTCACGACTTCTAGCAAGATCAAGTAAATATGAATGATACGGTTTGGGTGCAAACAAAGATTGGTGACGACGATCATGGTGATAATAATGGTGGTGATGATAATAATGATGATGAATACATTTGTTGCTCAGTACGAAGTACAAAATATGCGACATTTGCAGTACAAAAAAAATTGATTTCGTGAAAAAATGTAATAAAAACCGGAATGTATCAATATTACTGGTAAGATGAGGTACTTAGGATATCTCGTAAAAAATCCAGATCTTGTCACGAGCAGAGAGAATCATATCTTGTAGGTGCTATGACGAACTGATTAATTTGAATAGCTTTTTATTTTTGAGCTATTTTGAAAAAATAGCTCATATGTCAGTGGTGTGAGCGTATGTATCTTTGTGGCTTTGTAACTTTGTATGTTCGGATGTTTGTTGCAAGAGCCAATAAGGTTGAAGGTACTATTAGTTGATGCTTAGGAACCAATGAGATCTTGGCATCTATTTAAACATGGCATTGGTAAAGGTCGAACAAGGGCACTTTGAGACCGCCATCTTGATCCTTCACAATTTTTTCGTCTTTTATTACGGGTACAGGTGTTTGGAAGCATTACATAAAATATCTTCATGATTCAAACGCTGTGAACAATGATGCAGCTGTTTAAGGGTTCATATTTAAGTGTGGATGCTGCTTCGAGGCATTTCTGACCTAATTCGGCTATCGGTACAACGCACGTCAGTATGAGTTCTGTTTCACCTGCTACAACTAGGTAGAGTATGAAAGATCATATATTTTCAAATCTCTTCCAGTCAAGCAATAATTGACATTTAGATATAGACTTTAATTCGAAAGTATGCGCCCTATTAAATGTGGTTTTAGAAATTTAAGGCGCAGCCTATTTTTTTGAAAGCTGTATCGATTATTGTTAATCCTGTAAACAAGCTTTAAAAATATTATTCTCTCGCTTACAAAGTTCAACCGACCTTTTTCGTTCTATTTAGTAAAGATGCGTAACTTCAGTAGAAACAGTAGCGTTAGGGAATAAAATTGGAAGAAGCTAGTTGACACAATAATTAGATACTGTTATATTGAGTGGAGCAACATGATATAAGTAGAAATATATTTCAGCAGTTTGATAATTTTCTTGGAAGTTAATAAATGTTAAGTTATCAACCTTGACGTTGCATGAAACATAATTTAATTGCAGATGTTGTAATAAAGCCGAGGTGATTTCTTAAAATCGTTTGAGAAAATTTTGTAGTAAAACAATTTGCCTTTTTTTTTTTACGTACGAATTGTGAAAGGGCCAAAGACCAACATCTTCACATGCAAATTGTGTGCATGAGTTATTTTTATAATTCTGTTTACTAGATTACTGTGTGATAACTCGAATTCCCTCACGTACGAACCACGAAAGGGGGCAAAGTCCAACACTTTCACGTGCCAGCTGTGTGACTGTACATCTCATGCAGATTGGCTTTTCACAATAATAATAGTAACTTGGACGTATGAAGACCTGTTTCGTTTTGTAACCAATGACTTAAAAAAGGCTCTTGTCTTTTAAGACGTAATGGCTTTTAAAACATGACGAAATAAGTTGTCGGGGTTAAAGACTGTTTCACAAATGTTAATAAATGTTAGGTTATCAACCTTGACGTTGCATGAAACATAATTTAATTGCAGATGTTATGATGAAGCCGAGGTGATTTCTTAAAATCGTTTGAGAAAATTTTGTAGTAAACAATTTGCCCTTTTTTTACGTAGGAATTGTAAAAGGGCCAAAGACCAACATCTTCACGTGCAAATTGTGTGCGTGAGTTATTTTTATAAATCTGTTTACTAGTTTACTGAAAGATAACTCGAATTCCCTCACGTACGAACGACGAAAGGGGGCAAAGTCCAACACTTTCACGTGCCAGCTGTGTGACTATACATCTCATGCAGATTGGCTTTCACAATGATAAATAGTAACTTGGACGTATGAAGACCTGTTTCGTTTTGTAACCAATGCCTTAAAAAAGGCTCTTGTCTTTTGAGAAGCAATAGCCTTTAAAACATAAAGAAATAATTTGTCGGAGTTAAAGACTGTTTCACTGAGTAGAATCGCACGTGAAAACCTCGTGAATTATGATGATGCAACCATCTACCACAATGATAAAAATCCTGGTATTTCGTAACTATTCAGTATTCGAAGAGTCACATTTTGGCTTAAGAAACTCCGAGGAAACCTTAGAGTTTTCCTTCTAATCAACGTTTGGTGAGTAGAAATTTATTTCACTTTAACGATTTGTTTAACTTGCATGATGTAACAGGGAAAGACAGAGGAAAGTGAATATATAGCTTGAGGAACGACTCAGCTGAGCGTTTCGCGTTTTCATTTATGTACCGCAATACGCAATTTCGCATGAAAACCCAATCTACATTTAGGATGAAAGAAGTAGATTCATCACTCTTGGTAAGGTTACACCGAAGCATTAAAGGTACACTGAAGCATTCAAAATAGCTCATGCACGTTTAACGTGCCTATGTTATTATTAACTCAGTGTAGTTTTACCTTTATGTAGTTATTGAAGTCAAAGTTTGTACCAGGCTGGACTTACAATGAGTACACTCAAAGTTAGGATGTTAGTTCGTTTTACAAGTGATCAATATAATTGTGCATTACGATTCTTCACATCGCTTTCTCGGCAACCGTGGCGGGGCTTGTATTCACCGTTTATTGCAGAAACAATTTTAAGTTTTTAAAGGTGAGGAGAAGAAAACCTGCTTTATAAAACTGCGCCGTAACATTTGTGGAAGGAGAAAGAACGCTTCCTTTGATGAATAGGGTCCGCAAATAAACAATTTTTGAGTGATCTCCACAATGACAGAAGCAGCTTTTTTAATGAATGAGAAGCAACGAGTTTAGTCAAGATTTCTTATATTGATTGCGAGTCATGTGAATATTGTACAAGACCCTCTGATAACGCTGAGTGCCGTTTGATATTGCTTCTTCAGGGTTGCCACTCGTTTAATTCCTTAGTTTTCAACTGACTTTGCCGAGGTGAGTATTATGTTTGAAAAAGACATCCATTTTTAGATTTGCTTCAGTTTCTTTTAAGCCGCTATTTTTCTCCTAGTTGATTTTTTTACCTCTTTACGCCTTTCACGAGATTTTGCTGCATGGTTAAGACCGAATAGTAAAGCACCTCTCAGTCTGAGCTCTGCGTAGTGACTCCGCACGTGACTTGAGGAATATCAAAAGCTAATGAATATCAGGATTACAAAAATTGGTCTTTGTTGGCTATCCTAAGCTAGGCCCAAAGTTGCATGTTTTCTCCTACCTTACGAAACCACGACGGCAACCCCGGCAGCGAGAACGTCAAACAAACAATTGATTTCATAATCAAAACAATAACTTTGCACGAACTCTACACCAGTCTGCACGCACATCACTCTTTTCTGTCCATTTTGTTGCTGTCTCTATACGACCGGACTACGTCATGAAATAACCACATTTAAAGCTCTGTTGAGAACGTGAGTGGCCGAATTCATATTGAGACGGACTGGAAAAACGTCTTGAACGGGAATCTCGTCTACAGACGGAAAACTCGACCGATATGAATCCGGTCGAGTTTTCCGTCACAAATTTATCCTTTTCCAGTCTAAACTGACGGCAAAATAAGACGGGAAACTCGTCTTAAACTGAAACATGTCTTAAATTCATAATAGACGCGAAAATCACGACGACTTTTTTGCGCTTGCACACAAGGAAAATACTGCAACTAGAAAGCCACAATTGCAGATGGCGCCTAAGAAAAAGGCCCCTGCAGAAGAACACGAACAGAAAGTTTAGGCGAGCACTGACAACAGATATCGCTCCTGGCTACATCAGCTGTATCTTTGAACTTAGTGCCTTTTTTGGTGATGAGATGTTCTATAGCATATAAAGATC